GCCAATCACCAGGAGACTGGGAGTTCTAGTCACTCCTTAGGCATGAGAGCCAATTGGGTGACTTTGGGCCAATCATCAGGAGACTGGGAGTTCTAATTACTCCTTAGGCATGAGAGCCAATTGGGTGACTTTGGGCCAATTACCAGGAGAGGCAATCCTGCCTTAGGCATGAAAGCCAACTGGGTGCCCTTGGACCAGTCCCTCAGCTCAACCCACCTCACAGGGTTATTGTTGGGAGGGAAAATAGGAGGAGAAAGGTGTGTCAGATAAGTTTCACCCCCTTGAGTTATTTGTGAAAATAATAAAAGGCATGGTATGAATAATAAATAAAAAAATGATCAATCAATTATTAACTGAATCTGTCTGCAGATCCAAGCTTGTCCATCCTTCATCAAAAGAGTCGGAAAGAAATGTTGTTTCTGATTTTGAAATCAAGAAACCCCAAAATAAGACTTATTTTGTAATGATTGGCTTGCTCCATTCACTGTCGTATCTCGCTAATGAGATTCAACATCCTACAATCTCCAATACATCCTTCTATAACACCATTGTCAACTCATAAAACATTCCTATGCCTGTTTTAGTAGTCGCCATAAAAAGAGGAGGGGGTGAGGAAGGGAATCTGGAAGAGCAGTGCAGCAGTTTGAAACCGAGAGTACATTCCAACACTTCTCTTTAAAAGATTGTAACTAAACTACCAGAGCTTTTGCCTGCAAATATATTTAATTGGAGAACGTGATGGATGACACCCAGCCTGTGAAGGTGCTCAGTTGGAGAATCTGATTTATGACACACCCTGGGGGGGGGGGGGACAAGGTCACAGGGAACTGTAAATGACGTAGGCCAGAGTTGGCTTCATACAGGGCAGTGCCAAATATGTAACCTCTAAGTTGGTTGTCACCTCTTTGAAGTTGGTTGAAGTTTGGCTCAAGAATCATGATTTTAATTAGGGCGATTGCTGGAATCCCGACAACAGTCCTTTCAACTGTCTTCCAAGAAGGCTCCACACCCATTTGCACCACTCAGGCGACCCTGAGGACACAGATTAACTTCCAAGTGGCCTCAATGCCTCTCTAAAAAGGATGCAAAGGACCAGCTTATCTGCAAGGGGTATAAATCCTTCCATTTCCCACCATCCAGTCAGAGCTGAAGAAGCTTCTGGGATGAGAAGTGAAATGTCTTCAAAGGAGAAACAAGAAAGACTTGGGGAGGCGGAAGCACCTTTGGGACAAACACGACCTGGATGACGGAGAATCTCCTAACGAGAAGGAGAGCGCCCAAAGTCGAGACAGGACCAGGCCCCCTCCGCTGAAGGCAGCCAGACAAGGACTTGCGCTCCTTGGATGCTCGGAGCATCTCCTTGGCCCTCTCCCTCAGCCAGCCTAGATCTCCCGGAGTCCCCCTCTCTTCCAACGCTTGCCCTCTGCGGCACCCCACCCCACCCCAAAAAACTTCTCCGGGGCACAACCCGCGCCCCGGGCACGCGGAATCCTCCATTCCCCCACGCTCGCTGCTGCGCTGCGTCTTAACGCGCGAGAGGGAGCCCCGCGCCCGAGCCGGGAGCGCGCCTCCCCGCTCGCCAGCGCCCCCTCCGGCCCACCCGGCCCGCCACGGAGACGCCTCTTCCCTCCCTCTCCCCCCGCCGCCGCCCCCGCTCCGCCCTCCTCCTTCGCCGGCTCAGCTGCGCTCCCTTCGCTGACCGGCGGCTGCGACTCGGCGTTGCTGGGTGGCGACTGCGCGCCTCTTTTCTTTCTTTCTTTCTTTCTTTTTTTTTTTCCGGGCAGCTGTCGGGGCGCGACGCTCAGCCCCAGCCTGGGTAGGGTGGGCTGGGGGCTGGGGGGCCTTGGGATCGCTCCCCCCGCCCGGCGCGATCCAGAGCCGGCGACGGATTCCTCGCAACGCCCAAGAAGTCCGCCTCTAGAGACGCTCCAAGGAGCGTCTTTGCTGGTGCTGCTTGCTTGCCTGCCGGGCGCACCGGTTGCGCCAGAAAAGTTGGAACCGACGCCGTTGCCCACCCCCTCCTCCGGGCACAGCTGAGCCTCCCCCTCCTCCCGCAGGCCTCCCAACCCCCACACCGCCCCCCGTCCTCGTCTTCTGACGGCTCCCGGCTTGAGGTGAGGGGGCTGCAGCTGCTGTTGCTTCTTCTTCGTCTGCTGCTGCTGCTGCTTCTGCTGCGAGGAGAGCGGCTCCCCCGCCCCGGCGACAGTCCCCGCCGCCGCCGCCGCCGCCAGCCCCGGCAAGCGCTGAAGCCGCGGATGTCGCCCTCCGCCTCTGCTTCCCCTTTGCGGATCGCCGGCGGCGGCTCCCGGCGCCCTCCCCAGCCTTCCGCGGCGGCTCCGCGGCTGCAGGAGGCGGCGGCGGCGGCGGGAGAAGACTAAAGGGATGTTGGGCAGCTGTTGGTCCCGGCCCTGCGTGCCTCCCCAGGAGATGTTGCTGATGCTGGCCTTTTGCTTGGCGACGCGGCGGACCCTGGCCGCCCCCAGCCCGACCGCCGAGGACCTGGCGCGGGGAGTTGTAAGTGGAGCCCTGGGGCTCGTTACTTTTTTTTGGGGGGGGGGGGGGGTTTTTGGGGGGGGGGCTGGTCCCCCCCGCCCGGGCGGGGGGAGCGGGGGGGGACCCCCCCGCGCCCCCCCCCCCCACCCCCCCCCCCCCCCCCGCCGCCGCCAGCATCCCCTGCCTCCTTGGCAGAGGGCGATGGGCGTAGGGACCCCGCTGGGGTTGGCGAGGGTCCCTCCAGTTTTTTTGGGGGGGGGGAAACAGAGGATTGGGTGTACCCTTTTGGAGGAAAACGGCTGTTCCATTCCTCCGGTGGCTTCCAGCGGTCAGCAGCTGATCAAGGAGAGCATTTTTCCGTCCCCTTCTGAGATGGGGGGTGGGGGGGTTGACGGGTGGGATCTCCTCCAGGAACGGGGTGGCGGGGGGGGGCAGAGAGAAAGGTGGTTGGCAGAGCCAGAGGGAGAGCGAGACACCGTTTGCCCTGCGGTTCCTGCATCTCAGCCCGGAGGCATCCTAGCCTGGAGACCAGTCCTAGGTGTGAATTGCCTTCCCGCACCCCTCTTCCCCTTGTCACTCTCGTGTTTCGGGGCACCCCTCGCCCCCAACTTCCGTGCCACGAATGCCACGCCCGGGAGGCTTCCGATGTCCCCGGGACTCGAAGGGAAGCCCCGTTGAACGGTCAAGGGAAAGACTACTAGCCCCCCTGCCCCTGGTAGCGCCTTCTTCTTAGGGCTTGGAGAGGGAGAGGGTTGCTCTGGAGCTGCGGTCCTCCTCGCCCGCCCCACGCTCGCCCTTCCTTTTATTATCTCAACTTTTTCTCAGCCTCCGTCGGGTTGTTCTCCGCCTCCAGGTTGGGAAAAGGGGGAACGAAATCGGTCTTAAACGCGCGCCCTGCGAATCGTTGGAGTTGGTACTCAGAGGCTTTTCATCACTTCGGCTTCTTATCCTCGAGGGCGCTCTCTCTCGCGCGCGCGGAAGGGAACGGCGGCTCTGCTCCTTTCCCCTGCGATCTGCAAAGAGTTGCGTGGGTTTCTGGCCTCCAGACCCTCCGTCTCTCGCCCGGGCCGGGTCACCAAAACAACCGCAACCTTCTCCGGGTGGGGGGCGAGAGGATGACACTGTGTGTGCGTGTGTGTGTGTGTGTAGCTGACGAAATGGCTCGGCCCGCGAAAACAACACGTCGCGGGTTCCCGACACCCGAACGGCTGTTGTTGGGACCGGCCTTTCTTTCCCAACCCATTAAACCATGTCGGGTTTATAATTGGAAGCGCTTTCTCTTGATTTGGGGTGGGGTGGGGTGGGGGTGCGGGGGGGGTGGGGGGTAACAAGCAAGCATTTGGAGACGCTCCCGCTGTCCTTGTCCGCGCGGCTGGTTGGAAATGGGGCTGGCTCGGTCTGATGATCAAGTCTGCAGAAAGAGCAGGTTGATAGATTTGTTTCTGTTGGTTGAGGAGGGATCGGCTGTTGCGTTTGCTCCTGCTGGGATTTATGGATTAAGTCGAGGTTCTGGAGTGGTAGGCAGAGTGGTGTATTGTGGTTAGTTGCGAAGTCGTGTTCGACCCATCGCGACCCCCTGGACCACGTTCCTCCAGGCCTTCCTGTCCTCTACCATCTTCTGGAGTCCATTGAAGCTCACGCCGACTGCTTCAGGGACTCCCTCCAGCCACCTCCTTCTCTGCTGTCCCCTTCTTCGTCTTCTTTAGCCCTCCATCGTTCCCAGAATTATGACTCTTCTCCAGCGAGTCCTTCCTTCCTTCTCATGAGGTGGCCAACGTCTTTGAGGTTCATCTTCAGGATCTGGCCTTCTAAAGAGCAGACAGGGTGGTTCTCCATAGACCATGTTCCTCCAGGCCTTCCTGTCCTCTACCACCTTCTGGAATTAGATTACAGATAATCAGAGTTGGAAGAGACCTTGTAGGTTCATCTAGTCCAACCCCTCGCCCAAGCGGGAGACCCTACACAATTTCTGACAAATGGCAGTCCAATCTCTCCTTGAAAGTCTCAAGTGATGGCGCTCCCACAACTTCTGAGGGAAAGCTGTTCCATGGGTTGATTGTTCTCACTGTCAGAAAGTTTCTCCTTGTTTCCAGGTTGAATCTCTCCTTGTTCAGTTTCCATCCATTATTCCTTGTCTGGCCTTTGGGTGCTTTAGAAAAAGAGTCCATTGAAGCTCACACCAACTGCTTCAGGGACTCCCTCCAGCCTCCTCCTTCTCTGTTGTCCTCTTCTTCTTCTTGTGTCCTCAATCGTTCCCAGCATTACGGCTCTTCTCCAGCGAGTCCTTCCTTCTCATCAGGTGGCCAAAATCTTTGAGTTTCATCTTCAGGATCTGGCCTTCTAAAGAGCAGTCAGGGTTGATCTCCTCTAGGACTGACCGGTTGGATCACCTTGCCATCCAAAGGGCTCGCCGGAGTCTTCTCCAGCACCAGAGTTCAAAGACCTCCGTTCTTTGGCGCTCAGCCTTCCTTATGGTCCAACTTTCACAGCCATGCATTGCAAGTGGGAAAACCATATAGCCTTGACTCTATGCACTTGTCAGCTTTGGATGCTCCCATGCTGCCACAAGCCTGAGAAAGTGGAAGCATTGAATCTCAATATGGCTTCCAAAGTTGACAAGTGCATAGAGTTAAGGCTATATGGTTTTCCCAGTTGCAATGCAAGTTGCCGGAACGCTAACAGCACTTCTGTTGGCATGGGGATGTCTCTGCTTTTTAGAACGCTGTCTAGCTTTTCCATAGCTTTCTTCCCCAGGAGCTTTACATATACCTTTACATCCTGAGAATCTAGAGTGGGTCAAATCCTGATCTTTTAGTAGCTCTTTGAGACTCAGATTACATGGACTCTACAATGGGCAGACTCCTCCATCTTACCTCCACGTTACTCGATATTTGGCAGGCCCCAGTTGAGGGGAAAGACAGCACTTTTCCCCCAGTGGACCATTTTTGCTCCAAATATGGTGCTGGAGAGGACTCCTGCGAGTCCCTTGGACTTCAAGGCAATCCAACTGGTCAGTCCTAGAGATCAACCCTGACTGGTCTTTAGAAGGCCAGATCCTGAAGATGAAACTCAAAGATTTGGGCCACCTGATGAGAAGGAAGAAGGACTCCCTGGAGAAGAGCCGTAATGCTGGGAACGATGGAGGGCAATAGAAGAAGAAGACGGGGACGGCAGAGAAGGAGGTGGCCGGATGGAGTCACGGAAGCAGTCAGCGTGAGCTTAAATGGACTCCAGAAGATGGTAGAGGACAGGAAGGCCTGGAGGAACGTGGTCCAGGGGATCTCAATGGGTTGGACATGACTTCGCAACTGACAACAACAAAGGATGTCTAGAGAGCTTTAATGACCAGTGCAAATTGAGATGTTCTGAAAGTGGAACAAGTCATGGATTTTGCTGGGCTCAAGGACACGATCATTTGAAGCTATAACTGAGGTCTATGATAAAGATTCCCCAAGGGATTGGACTAATGGAAATAGCCATAATTTTCTCTTATAGGGAATAATTTCAATTCTCAAATAAAACCATGTTCTATCTAGAGGAAAGGAACCGTATCAATGAGGTTGCTTATGGAACCACCCAGCGTCTTAAGATAGCTAAGTTGAGAATGTCTTCTGCTAGTTAGTGAACTGGAATACTATGAGAGGCAAGGAACATATGTGGGCCTCCAGAGGCTCCTAGCATTCTTCAGTGTCTGCTATAGGTTGTTATGCCAGCAACATCTGGAAAACCATGAGTTCTCCAATCTTGGAGCAGATAGCACCAAGCTAAGTAAATTGAGTTCATTTTTTAAAAACTTTTAATACTTATGAGAACCCATATTGAATGGGGATTATTCCACAGTTCCACTTAATTTAATACGGGTTGGGAGCATTCCCTAAGGGAAGACTACTCTTAGTATTCCTTGGAGGTATCTACTTCTGCGGCTGGTACTTTTATCTGGAGAAGAATCCACACTGCTATCATTAAGCGATTCTGTTCTAATGCTGTGCATTTACTATGCTGCCTCCTCCTCCTCCTCCTCCTCCTCCTGATGTAGATGCGGAAAACTGCTAGTTTGATGCAAATCCAGATGGCTTCACTTGCCTGTTATTACTCTGAATCTCCTCTTCTTCTTCTTCTTCTTCTTCTTCTTCTTCTTCTTCTTCTTCTTCTTCTTCTTCTTCTCCTCCTCCTCCTTCTTCTTCTTCTCCTCCTCCTCCTCCTCCTCCTCCTCCTCCTCCTCCTCCTCCTCCTCCTCCTCCTCCTCCTCCTCCTCCTCCTTCCCCTGAGCCCAAATTTTATTCATGGTGGCTTCGGGTGGGTTGCCCTGCAGATGTAGGGTATGCTGAAAAGCAATTGGTGTACATTACTTCTTGTTTTAAAAAGCATAATTGAGACTCATTCATAACTGCTGTTCTTGTCACTGGAAATATTCATGGCTGGGTTGATGGCAAAGAGCTGGTGATAATGTTCAAAGATAAATGGTCATTGGCACTACTGAAAATGCCGGCGGCATTCATTTTGGTGTTATCTCGATGCCTGCTTTATTCTTGAAGGTTTGGAGGTTGAAGGGTCCTTGGTGTTCTCTGGGTTTGGTGGTTTTCTTGCAGATGTTTCATGACCCAACTAGGTAACATCATCAGTGCTAGAAGGGAGGAGGAGGAGGAGGACTGGGATCCTTGGTGCTCTCTGAGTTGGTTGGTTTCTTGCAGACATTTTATAACTGAACTAGGTAACATCATCAGTGCACTGATATTGCCTAGTTTGGGTCATGAAACACCTGCAAGAAAAAAGCCAAGCTCAGAGAGCACCAAAGACCTCACAATCCTCTTCCTCCTCCTCCTCCTCCTCCTCCAATCCCACTCCTCTAACCCCACTCCTTTCTAGCACTGATGATGTTACCTGGTTTGGGTAATGAAACATTTTCAAGAAAACAAACAAGCTAAGCGAGCACCAAGCCCCAGCCCTCCTTCTCCTCCTCCTCCACTCTACAAACCCCGCTCCCTTCTAGGATTGATGGTCTTACCTAGTTGGGTCACGAA